GGTTTTAGTATTCTTGATTTATATTTTCATTCAGAATTCGATAAAAAAAATCTGTATTAAACTTTGCAATTGATATGTAAGTGCAAAGATTAGATATAATTGCGTAAATATGTCACTGTTAAAATATCATGGGCACTTTAGTTTTTATAAATGAAATTAGATTATTCATTTTCATTAGTGTCGTAGAAGGTTTTTAAGTAAAATCTAAACGTAAGGATAACGTCGGATTTTTTTAATTTGAAATACCATTACCATATTCAATGACTAGGTATAAATAATTCATGAGCAATAAGTGTAATATTCCTTTTTTATCAATCTCTAAATGTTGCTATGTGTTACTATTTCATTAAGCAACGATATGAAAAGTATTATATCATTTATCATTGCGTATATGTATTTTTAAAAAATGACGTTATAGTTATCTTCACACTAAGCATACAATCTCAATCGAGTTTCTACGATCAGAAGTCGATTTTAAGTTTAACATATGAAATAAACTACAGTGTTATAAAATATTCTTTAAAGTGGCGAACTCTTGTCAAAATATTTTAGTATGGTTTTCCTAAATTTGTAAATTTTCAAGTATTATTTACAGAAATCATTGCCGGTTCTTTGCAGACGTAATATCTCCATCACGTTTCATTGACCAATGGTGAAAGAGAATGAGAAGTGCCGCAAAAGTTTGAAAAAGCTAGCAACGAGACAATATTAAATTCGTATATTTTTCTTAGAAATTCACTAACGAATAATGCATGTAGCACAATTCCTAAACTTTTATATTTGATATTATATGTACATATTATATTCTCTTGTTAGTGTCGCATGATACGTGAGGCATAGAAAGACATTATTAAGTAGTAGACACTATTTTGCACCGACTGTCGGTTCGATAATGTTTCATGACTAGAAACAAAAAACAATACTATTGAAAGAGCATCGAGGAGTGGGGTTAGAGATGAAACACTAATAAGAGGGTAAACGTAAAATATGAACAAGATAATATTAAGGAAATATTAAGGAAATATTTTATTTAATATTATTATTAAAGTTAATATTATTAAGTAAATATTAAGGAAATAATGCTATGTATTGCGTATCAATACATTTGTAAAGAAAAGTTGTTTGTAAACGCCTTTGTGTATCTTCCAAATTATATAACACAACTTACGCTTACGTGAACACTCAAAGCTGCAGGATCGAGTTTCATCTCAATAAGTACTATATTTCGTGACTCTGATCTCTCTATAATCTGTCTATAAAATACGTGAACCGTGGTGGGAACTGTGATGTGCAAAAAGTAAATTGAATCTTGTTTATCTTTCACAGTTCGGTACTTCACATTTAAAACACGTGTCGTAAAAAAGTATCAGATCGCTAAAAATTTAAAATAAAATGCCTTTCGATATAGTTGCATACTCATATGCAGCTGCGGTAGCAGGAGGTGGTATACTGGGCTACGTAAAGTCATGTAAGTTAAATATTTTGAATATATTCATTTTCTTCAGGAAATATTCAAATAGATGTTATCTACATAACTTTAATATTACTATTTTTATCTATGAGTTTATCTAATTAAAAAGTTGCAAATTACAGTATGCAATTACAGGAATCATTCCTTAATTGTTTTAAAACTTAACATTGGTAGACGGTGGTACAATTGACCATGACTTGCAGAAGACCGATAAAAGTGAAGAGAAAATAATAATCGACTTCTTCACAGCAAGATATAAATTAACTTTATTTTCTAAAGCTTCCATTCCATCCCTGGGTGCTGGACTTCTTTTTGGAAGTATTTTGGGTTATGGAGCTTATCAAACTTCGGCTGACCCTACCAATGTAGCAGTGCTATTAGGAGCTAGTACAACTCTAGGTGGAATTATGGGATATCGTTTCTACAATAGTGGCAAAATAATGCCAGCAGGAATAATTACATTGCTCAGGTATTGTTTTTATTAATATAATTTTTCTATGTTAATAATCATTACTGTATTAATAAATTAAATTTCTTTTCAGTGCTGCAATGATTGTTAGAACTATTACAAGATACTTCACTGCAACTCCTATGAAGACACAATAAGTGTGATTGTATTT